TAGTAAATGACCCCTATAGGGGCCAGTGTTTGACCAAACATATATTATATTTATTTTACAGAGATTATTCCTACTTAAGTACGGTCAATTACTTTCGTCGTTATGAAGGATGTTTAATAAAACAGAAAAGATACAAACATTTGCATTATGTTTTATATTAGGCTAAAATATTTATAAAACTTGAAGCCTGCTAAAAAACTGACCTGTTTTTGCCCAATAAATGACCAAAAAAGAACTAGTTATTGACTGAACATTTAAACTGCATGTATCTTATTTATAGAGCATAAAATTTCGGTCGAATACTAAACCATTTAAAGGGGAAGGGAAGATATAATGAAAAAAAAAAATTATATTAAAATTTATTCTATTATAAACCCATCTCCAATAGTTGTGAGGTAATAAATCTCATAATTTCTCCAGTATTTGACCGATTGGTCAAACACTAATTTTTATTCAAATTTAGAGCTACCGGTCTTTGACCGGCCGAATTTTGACAAAAAAATAAATTAAAGCGGTATTTTTTTGATATAAACAATAGATAACATATATTAGAACACCGACAAACAAACAAAAAATATAAAAAATGCAAAAAGAGATGAATAATATTACCTTAATTAGGTGAACTTCCTAATTCAAAAATTACGCTTCTTAAGACGATGTGCACAGCCTGTGGTTGGAGGTAAACTAAACAACAAGTACCACAATCTGGTATGACAAAGCGAAAGTTTTGCATAGTAGGGGGTGGAGAAAAAACTTCAGGCTATTTATGAATAGTTTCATACTCCTTAAGATATTCCTAGAATTCTTATTTTTCACATTTTTTCACGAAAACTGTCGAACACTGGCTGATGGTCAATTACTGGCGTTTTGCCCTAGTCGAATATTTTTATTTAATCCTCTAGGAATCATTCCAATGAACAATTTAAGTTTGTTTTACATATACACATTAAATATTGAGGTACTTGGACTATTTCGATAATAAAAATTGTATAATAATATTTGATAACGAGATCCATGGCTAAAAATGAGTAATTTCCTGTTTTTTGTTATTTTTCCTCCAAATTTCGCAGACAGCCCTAAAACATCGTTCCAATCACTTTTTCCAAATAACTTTCTTCGAAATTTTACCGTCTAACCCCGCTTTTCGCGAATCCATATCTAAATTGTCGAATTTGCCGCCATAACAGTGATCACGTGACCAATGTCAAAATGTACTTTTAGGTTATCGGACATGCAAGATCGATCGCACATAATTCCATATCTTACAAATAAAAAATTTCCTCATATGTAGCACAGATCTCTAGGGCCTCGAGATAATCGGCTTTGAAGGTTTTCCAGAACTTGAGACAAAGTTTCAAATTTGCGGCTCAATCTCTCGAAAACTATTTGAGATAGATGATTCAATTGTGTTTTACTTTAAAGAGCGTTTAATTCTGATTAAGAATAAATATTTATCAGAGTATTATTCTAGCATTCTAGTAATGAACGATTTTGTGAGTCAGTGTCGGATGATCAAAATTTTTCAGAACCTGAAATGCATGACTTTGTCATGCCTAATATGGTTTACATAAAAAATATATTTTTCTACTGACATTTCATAATACGCTATTAAACGATTAAAATCTGTATTATAATGAACTTCATTACGATACAGATTTTCATTATAATACTCATTTTTAATATTATACAATGTTGATAGATGGCAGCACTAGTTAAGATATTGAACATTTTTAACAGTATTTTTGCGTGGAACAATTATTTTGATAACTATAAAAAAGACTTCGAATTGTTTAAAAGTTATCTAAAGTTTGGGACAATGAAAAATTATTATAGAAATAATGAGTGATAAGGAAGAATTTTTACTTTTTTAATTATTATACATTGTCAATAGATGGCGCCACCAGTTAAAAAATTTTGAATTATTTTTTTTTTGAATGATGACAGCACTTTGTTTATAGCTTTTCCATGGTAATTTAGCGGAAAACAATAATTTCATGAAAAAAATACTTCGAATTGTTATTAAAAGTTACCTACCTAATGTTTGGCCTAAGGCATTATTATGGAAATATTGAGTGATAACGAAGAATTTTCACTAACACCCCCAGAAATTACAGAAAAGCCGACAAATGCAGGTAATAATATACTACCGGACAAGTCCAAGAAAATTTGCGAAAAATGATATGGACAATTTATGGATTGGAAACACCAAAAACAAATCGTCCTCAGAAAATGTTTTGATAGTATATTTTGAAGAATTACAACAAAAAATGAAACCTTCAACTGTATGGATTACTCAATTATAAAATCTATATTCAAAGTCAAGCATAATATTGACATAAATGAATATCATAAGTTTTATCGATGGCAGTAGAAAAAATAGTGTATGCAACTCTCATGTAATGGCCATTAATACACTCGCATGTTATATACGAAACTCGCCTGCGGCTCGTTTCGTATCCTACAACATGCTCGTGTATTAATGGCTATCATTACATGATCATTGCATAATATACTATTTTCTACTGACATTTCATAATACGCTATTAAACGATTAAAATCTGTATCATAATGAACTTCATTATGATACAGATTTTCATTATAATTCAGATTTTTAATGTTATACAATGTCGATAGATGGCACCACCAGTTAAGATATGAAACATTTTAAACGGTAATTATGCGTAAAACAATTATTTTGATAACTATAAAAAAGACTTCGAATTGTTTAAAAGTTACCTTAAGTTTGGGACAAAGAATAATTATTATGGAAATAATGAGTGATAAGGAAGAATTTTTAATTTTTTCATTATTATACATTGTCAATAGATGGCGCCACCAGTTAAAAAAAATTGAATTTTTCTCTTCGAATGTTGACAGCACTCTGTTTATAGCTTTCCATGGTAATTTAGCGAAAAACAATAATTTTATAAAAAAAATACTTCAAATTGTTAATAAAAGTTTGGGATAAGGCATTATTATGGAAATATTGAGTGATAACGAAGAATTTTAACTAACATCTCCAGAAATTACAGAAAGGGCGACAAATGCAGGTAATAATATACTACCGGATAAGTCTAAGAAAATTTACGAAAAATTATATGGACAATTTATGGATTGGTGATACACCAAAAACACATCGTCCTTCTCAGAAAATGTTTTGATAGTATATTTTGAAAAATTACAACAAAAAATGAAACCTTCAACTGTATGGACGCATTACTCAATTAGGCAATCCAACGACCTGTCCAAATGGCGTCTGGTTGGCAAACAATAAACAAAAAACATGTTTTTATTTTGACGGGATTAAGCCTAGTACTCATAACCGCGAAATTCGTTTTTTTTTTACGTTTGATTCACACATAAAACGTCAAATTGTCGAAGCAATGTCAAAAAACAGCGAATTTCGCTGTTAAGGAGCATTTACATTCACTTCCAACTTCAAGTTAAATTTGACGTTTGATATTTTATCATTTACATTGCAGAACAAAAACGTCAAGTCAAAACGTCAGAATTTAATGAGAATCATGATGAATAACCTAAAAATTTGACATTTCACAAATTTCTCTGCTTGCCCTCGGCAAGCAGCTCGCCCAAATTTGAAGTGCACTTCGAAGTGAACTTCAAATTTATTTCAATGTAAATGAATCTGTGCTGCCGCCATATGGCAAGCACGTCAATTTCAAGATAAATTGGTCTTCGAAGTGAATATAAATGCACCATTATGATTACTAGGCTTTATCAATACTGACATCGTTGACATGTAACAAACCGTATTCTAACCTCATAAAAATTTTAAAATGCCGGCTGGTTGGCAAAAGTCACGTGGTTTGGATTCCCTAATTAAATATAAAATCTCTATTAAAAGTTAAGCATAATGTCGACATATCTAAATATCATAAGTTTTATCAATGCCTATCAATGGCTCTCATGTAATGGCCTGCAGCTCGTTTCGTATCCTACAACATGCTCGTGTATTAATGGCTATCATTACATGATCATTGCATAATATACTATTAACGTAAGTTCCTACCTTAACTTTATGCTGCTGTGTTTACTAGAAATGTGTCCAATTGAATACTAGAATTAGAATGCATCACAAGGCTTGATTCAACTATTATTAATCAAATGAAAAATTGGATCAAACGTGGTGGAACAAAAGGTTATCAGGGCATGAATTTCACAAAAATTTACATTCAATAATTCAAATTTGTTTTATAATAGAGCAAAAACCATCTTGCTGCATACGAAAATAATGCAATGCCTTGTAATTTCCAATTCTCGAGAGAAATAACATTAAATTTTCAATTCAGCGAGACATTGAATGCGACGCGTGCAAGATAAGGGATTTTATTTGACAGATTCCGCACCCCAACGGCAACAGGAGAATCACTAAATATGTATAAGAAACTGCATATTAGCTGTCTGACATTGGAAAACTAAGGCCAACATGAATTATGTAGGTAGGTACCTATTTATAGATGACATATAGATGACACACAAAAGCTTATATACAATATTAAATTTTCTGACTAGAGCATAAAAAAAAAAACAGCTACAAGCGAAAAGCTGTAAAAATAAAGCTAGGATGGCAATAAGTTTTCGTGTTGAGGCCTCGTGGATCCCTAAACAAAGCTGTTACTTTGAGGTGTTGGAGAAAAAAAATTGCCTTTATCGTTTTTTTTTTATATATGTTATATAAAGATATTATTTTTTTTATATAATGTTTGTTCTTGGCGTTCAATTGAGTTATTTCTGTGTTTTTTAATAGTTTTTGATTGGATTTTGATCTATTCATATAAAAAAACATTATCGATTGAACTCGTGGCAAAAACATTGATGTACATTTGACAAGATTAGTCAAGGCAAAAAAGTTTCCATATGTTTCAGAAGTTCGTGGGTGTGAAACCGAACACCGCATGCTCTCGCAGGAAAATTCGTGCAAAGGGCGTCTCTGTGAAAGCTTCAATCGTTCACTCGACGCCACCGACGCCAGCTTCGTAGAGGTAAAAGTAGAGTCAGTGCGCTTTCAGGCGTCTTCCATCGAAGACCATGAAGATCGCTTGGCTCGTGCTGGCCTCTTGCGTGCTCGTCTTGGCGCACGCATCTGTGCCATATTTCGATGACGGTAAGTAATTTTATGTTGTTTAAAAGTTTTTAAATTCGAAAAAAGTGTGTGCTTTATTGGTAATTCAATATTGGCGGAAAGTTTTTGCGCTTAGCTGAAGCAATCTAAGCTTATTTAAAAAGTTTGTAGAGGAAATCAAGTTTCAACTTTTTCTTAGTTCAAAGAGAATCTGAGTAGATTTTCAATTTAATTTTCACATTAAATTGTGTTTCATACTCTTTGAAATTGTGCTAATTTTTTGAAGTTGTAATGTCCCTATTCTCTTGATGTTCTATGTCTCATGTTCCTGTTGGGCTATTCACACATCAAGACAAGCCAAACTAAAGTTCCTCTGCTATATTTACATTTACATTAATGGTTGTTCTCAACTTCAAGGCTATGTCATAATATTATACAAGTTTTGTTAAAATATTTAAATAAAACGTTTGTAGTAAACTGCTACTAACGATAATTGCTATTAGAAATGATTAAACTTTGACAAAAAATATAACAAAATCAAACAGAATATTTAATCTTCAAATCAATTAAATAAAAGGTCAAGTAAAAGAAAAACATTTGTTGGGAAACCGAGAAAACTAAGTTATACAGGGTGAATCTGAAAGTGATGGTTTTTTTTTAACAGGGTATATATCTCGCCAAAATAAGTTGTTTGGCAAAAAATTGTTTATATAAAAAATTTAAGATAACGGATTAAAAATTAAAAATTAAAAATCTAATTTCAATAATCTAGGATTTACTAGAGAAAATATGATAAACATTATCACAAAAATTGTTCAAAATTATCCCAATTTGTCTGATGCTTCATTTCTTCCTTAATTTTGTCTGTTTCACTTTAAAACAAAAATTGATAGGAATGATAGGTTGAAAATGAAAATTTTTCTGATGAAATAATGCAACTGTGAGTACCTATTATGGAATAAGACTCATTATGCTGGACTAATAATGGCTTTTTTGCGGCTTTTTTTTTTTGAGAAAATGTAAACAAAGTGATTTATAGTGGAAGTCTTCTTTAACCTCAAAATAGCTGTACCACCGTTATCCTAAATTTTTTATGTAAACAATTTTCTGCCAAACAATTTATTTTGGTGAGATATACATCCTGTTAAAAAAAATCCTCACTTTCAAATTCACCCTGAAATCTAATTTAGATAGGTTGAAAATGAAAATTTTTCTGATGAAATAATGCAACTGTGAGTACCTATTATGGAATAAGACTCATTAGGCTGGACTAATAATGGTTTTTTTGCGGCTCTTTTTTCGAGAAAATGTAAACAAAGTGATTTATAGTGGAAGTCTTTTTTAACCTCAAAATAGCTGTACCTCCGTTATCTTAAATTTTTTGTTTAAACAATTTTCTGGCAAACAACTTATTTTGGTGAGATATACATCCTGTTAAAAAAAAAGCCTCACTTTCAGATTCACCCTGTATACAGTTGAAGTTGGGAAATAAAACAAAAGTTCTATAATTCACTTACACGAAATATATTTCTTGTTTTAACAAAATAACTTTTCCATATATTCTCAACTCAAATTAGTCATTTCAATCTCATTTAATTTAAACAGCAGCATAAATTCACCAACAAAGTAAAACAAATTTATAAATTTAAATCCTCTATTTGTTTCCCTAATCCTTATGGCTTAAGATGAACAATTACTGGAAAATTCTAAAAGTAAAACAAATAATGTGAATTTTATAACAAAATAAATTATCTTTCTATAGGATTTTAAATCACATACCTATGACCGTATATTAATGGAAACAATTCTAATTAAAATTAAATTAGTTAAAAATTGTTACAGAACGCGGCCAGAGATTTCACATAACAGATTCATAAATATAAAATGGACATTGTTTGACAGATAAATGAGTAAAAATTAATTGAAAATTTGGTACTTTGAGACTCAAGGATGTTGAATATTTATCAAGTTTATTGTCAGTTGTTTCTGAAACTTTCTGAGAAAGGAAAATTATACGTCAGGCTTGACAAATTTTTATATTTCAAATCTGTATTTCAAACTAACAAAATCAGGTGAATGGGAGGTAATAATTATTGAGAAAGAACTAAATTATATTTCCAACATTTCTCCCCCTGAGTAATTGCTTAACAGGAACAGGAACGAAAACAATTACTGTTTGACATCAACTATTCGTATTTTCCTATCTCTGAGGGTATAAACGGGTAACTCTTCCATTTGGCCAAACATTCCTAGGACTGTTGGGATCGATAATGATAACTTCGTTACCTTCTTGGATAGGCTTCGAATTTTCAAACCATTTTGTTCTATGCACTAGGTTAGGTGAGTATTCTTGCGTTGCAACCATGTCTTCCAAAACAAATCGGACAATTTTTATGCAGCTTTCCACTCACATAATAAGTTAGGCTTCATCACATTTTTTTTAACACAGCATAATCAGGTCCAATCAAAAACTAATTCGGAGTTGAAGTTTCTCAGTCTTTTGAGTCAATAGAAACTTTAGTCACAGGTCTTGAATTTAAAATATTTTCCACTTCTGCTAACACTGTCCTCAAAACATATTCTTTAGGAAATCTTTCCTTTAAAATTTCACTCAAAATTTTTTTACGCTTTGAATTAGTCATTTTCATGCGTCTGTGGTGATAATGGTGAATTATGTAAGAATTTGATTTGACGTAAACTACAAAACTTTGAAATGTCTGTCTGATTTAATTTTTGGATTTCTAGATCAAGTTCTTTACCTGCGGATTTGAAATTTGTTCCATTTTCGCTATATACTTCTTCTGGGGAGCGGCGATTCTGTTCTGGCGATAAATTGTCTAAAAACGTGGATGAAACCGTTTGAACTCGTCACCATGCAGGTGAAAATTACTCCATATCCTCTTTCGTGGCTTCTTTCAATAGCTACTAAATCTTTCCGAAAAAGTCAAGTCCTGTTTTGATAAAGCATCTTACTCTCGGCTTTAACCTACAAATTGGTCGCTGTCCAATCACAGGTATCTGTGATTTTTGAATTTTACAACGCTGACAATTCATAGGGATCCCTTTTACAGCTTGTCTTTTTCGTAAAATCTAAAATTTTTGTCTCAAATTGTTCATAACAGTTTCTTTTCCTTGATAGCAGACCTGTTTATGCTAAAACTGTATCAATAATTTTGTCATTCTGTGCTTTGGGTCCAAAATGATAAGGATTTTTGAAATTTTCCTTTTCTTCCTTCAAATTGTTTGATCTTCCACCTAATTTCAACCAAAAAACATGTAGGTTAGTGAACAAAGTCTACTTGATTTTTTGATAGTATTTTTTTTGTTTTAGGTCACGTATTTCTTCTTCAAATGAATCCGTTTGTATTTTCTTCAGAAGGATATTTTCAGCCCATTCGATTTCTTCTTTGTCCAGGTCGTCAACTTTGTCTAGTTTCAATAGTTTTAAATTTCAAAATTTTTGATATTTAAGCTAAGAACGTAAAATTCGTTGCCATTTAGAAAATCTCTGCCGTAAAAGCGTATCTAAAAATACCTCTTGAAATATTTACAAGAACGAAGTCATGTTTTTCTCCTAAATTATTTATATTTTCAGATGATTCTGTTTCTGTGCCAATATTCACATAACCGCTTCAAAAATGGCCACCTTCTGTTACACTTGTAATCAATAAGCCCAGTGGTCTTTTTGTAGCCTCGTCTGAGTTCACATATTTTCAGTTACAACTGTTTATCAGATTCTGAATTTCCCCCAAACGTTGAGCGACAAATACCTTGTAAAACGTATCCAATGTAAAACCGTCTTAGAGTAATTCCAGTGAATCATCGAAGATACTAGTATTGTTCGTCGATTTTAATTTGATACTCGGACGGAATTTGAGCTGGTGGCTCCCTACATTAGAACGCCAACGGTTACCTGACGTTACACCTGTTTTTGCCATATGAAACACCCTCTCGCTCCTCGTACCGCAAGTGTCAGTTAAAAATCGACGAACAATAAGTCGAGAGTTTTTTTCATATAACTCCAAAGTCAAACTCCTATCAAGGTTGCCTGTATTTCAAGCCTAAGAATAGATATCGGTTTTAAAGGTGCTACTCTTGCTTTTGAAGTTACAAAGGCTGTTTGAACTTGATCATCATGTTCTATTCTTGAATAAACTACTATGGCATAACATTCATCAGAACTATCAGAAAATATGAGCAGTTGAAAGTGGCTTAAAGCTCGATTTAACGTAGAATATTGATGAGGCATTTCAAAGGACCCTGCCCAAAGTATACGGAGATTGTGTTTATGTCAGAATTTGCTGCAGTTTGTATATAATGTTGATCACGCCTTCCTGATTAAAAGTTATCATTGCCCCAATCCTGAAAAATGATTCCTTTTCGAGAAAATTAATTTCATAGGTAGCAAGTAAAACGCTTGGACATTGTAATGAACGTATATACAAATAAGCGGATTATTGCGGAACTTATGGGTGGACCTCTGCGGGACGAGCGCAGCGAGTTCCGCAGCGATCCACTCACCAATATACTGTTGAACTGTTCAAATAAGATACTCACCTGAAACGTGTAGTTTTTGAACTAATGAGAACAATTCACATTTGAGTGAATCAGGTTAGTATTGTACTTGAACAACATATTGGTGAATAGATGGCTGGGTCCACCCATAAGTTCCGCAACAATCCACTCGTTTGTACTTAAATAACAATATATTACTAGTTTGGTAAAGTAACATTACTACTAATTCCCGTTAAAAGGCAAATTGACAAAAAGTGGATAATCTTAAAAATTCTGACTTTATATAATAAGTTATTGTTCAAGTACAAATAAGTGGATTGTTGCGGAACTTATGGGTGGACCTCTAAGCCATCTAATCACCAATATACTGTTGAACTGTTCAAGTAAGACATTTACCTGAAACATGTACTTTTAAACTAATGAGAATAACGCACATTTGAGCGAATCAGTTTAGTATCGTGATTAAACAATATATTGATGAATAGATGTCCACCCATAAGTTCCGCCACAATTCACTCATTTGTACT